GAACCCAGCAGGTCGAGGCTGTGGTTGCCGGGAGCGGCCACTGCACTCCAATCTGAGCGACAGAGTGAGACTCCAACTCTAAATAAATAAATAAATAGTAAATACATAAATAAATATATTCTTTTTGAGTTGGAGTCTCACTTCCTCCTCAGCCTTCCAAGTAGCTGGAACTACAGGAGTGCGCTACCACGCCTGGCTGATTTTTTGATTTATTGTAGAGATGAGGTCTCGCTGCCCAGGCGGGTCTCGAACCCGCGGGCTCAGGCAGTTCACTCACCTCAGCCTCCCAAAAGCGCGGGATTACAGGCTGAGCCACCGAGCTCGGATTTAAAAAGATGTGATTCTTTATACGGAAACAAAGAACTGAATACCGCATGTTTCCAGTTGTAAGTGCGCCCTGAACACTAATCTCATTAGCACAAGGGTGTGGTTGGCAGTCATTGGGCACTGCTAGGGAAGGGAGGAAGGGAGAACAGTGGGTGTACTAATGACTGCAGGGGGAGTGAGGGCCAGGTGAAATTAATTAATTTTTAGAAAGCTATGATTCTTTATAGTTCTGGATAGAGTTCAAATATTGTTGTTCTAAACAATGTTCAGCCCTCTCCATGTATGATCAGCACATATAAAATAAAATAAGGAAAATAAAATATGAAACAATAAGTTTTGTATAGTGCCTGCATTTGTGTATAAGGATCTTCAATGGTTTCTATTAGATATGTAAATTATATTTATATACAACTGAAAATAATTGGACTTTTGACAAAAATGAAGGTGTCATTTAGAATATTGCTTTTCCTTAGTTCAGTGATAGAAATTACAGTCAGAGACTAACCAGCATGAGCAGAATAGGGGGAGGGAATGTGGAGTAACAGAAAAGCTTGGTCTTGTGAAGTCAGCCAACCATGGTTTTGATCTTGAGCTTTGTGATCAGGGGCATAATACTAAACTCTTCAAGGTTTACTCCTGCATTTGTTAAGCGTCTGTAAAATGTAAACTTGCTGTCACTTGTTCAATGGGGTTTTGAGGATTATAGGGAAAAATGATGTTATTTATCCCCTTCTCTCTGAAAAGAAAGACTGGGTTATTTTTTCAAGTCTTATTTATGTATATATGTGTGTATGTATGACTTAAATAATTGCTTTTGGTTAGCACCAAAGTATAAAGGTATTGTATACAACAGACCTAGTTTGTCAAAGAAAATAATTGCTTCTACTAGAGAGTATTTTCTTCATTTGACTGTGAGACTTTTATTCGTTTTGGTTTTGGTTGGTTGATGATCTGAAAGTGAGTACATCATTTCTATTGCCCAAACCCATCTCCAGCTATATCTCAAAGGTAGTAGTCAAGAGTGTGGATTTTCTAGTCATACTACCTGGGTTTAAATTTGGCCTCTGTAACTTGACTGTCTGCAAAGTTACTCAGATGTGGTTTTGACCTTCTAAATTTGGACAAATTATTTGACTCTGTCTCAATTTTCTCATAGTTAAAATGGAGATAATAAAAATATGTATCTTCAGTATGTTAAGCGTAGCTCTAAGGATTTCTGTGACTTTATATAAAGTTCTTAGCTCAATGTATGTTGTGTAATAAGCTCTCATAAATACTATTATTAGTTATATTAATTCTCTTTTCATTCATTCAGTACATGCTTACTGAGTGCTTGCCATTTGCAAGGCACGATTCTAGATGTAGAGACATCAGTGAACAAAACAGATAAAGTCATTGCTCTTGTGAAACTTACAGTCAAGGGAAGGAAACTGCAAATGGATATATGATGTTAGGCAAGTCTTATGAAGAAAAATAAACAGAACAAGGAGCAAATAATAGAGGGTGTTATTTAAAATTGAGCATTCATTTTGGCTGAGACCATGAAAATATCTAGGGGAATATTTTTGACAAAGGGACCAGCATATAGAGTCCTAAGGCAGTGATATTTCTGAATGACTGTGAGGACCAATAAGAAGACCATTGTGGATGTAGTTTTAGTGAAGAAGAGAGAGTAACAGAGCAGTAGATGAAGTCAAAGAATCAGTGATGCAGGGATTTTGTAAGCCATGGTGAAGACTTTGTATTTTACCCTAAGTATGATGAGAAGGCAAGTTTTGATAAGAGGAATGATGTGATTTAATTTATGTTTTAAAAAAATGACTAGTTTTATAGATAAAAGATCTAGGGGTCAAATTAGCAAGTGGGAGACAAGTTAAGAGGTTACTACAGTTAATACAAATGAGGACTGATGGTGATTTAGGCTAGGCAATGGTGGTGGGAAGAAGTGGTTGAATTTTGGATGAATTTGGGATATATTTGAAAGGAGAACTGATAGAATTTGCTGATGCATGCAATTATGCAAATAATGGTACCATTTACTGAAATGGAGAACTACTGTGGGAAGAACAACTTGATGTATATGGAGAACATAGGAATTTTGACTTGTAGGTATTATTTTCGAAATGCCAATGGTGAAAATACTCTGCCTAAATGGAAAATTTGAGGAGACATTTTTATGCAGATGAATGGAGTTCAGGAGAGAAGATAGGACTAGAGATAAAAATTTAAGTATTGTCTGTGTATGAATAATATTTTAAGTTTCTGCATTTGATGAGTGAGTTTGGTAGAGAAGAGGAAAGGTCTCTGAGGACAGCTCTGAAATGCTCCAACATTTGGTGGTCTAGAGGAGAAAAAGGGTCCAGCAAAGAAGACTTAGAAGGAGCAGCCAGTGAGTTAGGAGGACAATGTGATGTCTGGAAACCTAGTAGGGAAAGATACTCAGGGAGGAGGAAGTGATCTGTAGGACTAAATTAGCAAGAAACCAATAAGAACTGAGAGTGACCTTGACAAGGACATTTTGTAGAGTGATAAGAGCAAAAGCTGGACTAAAATGAGTCTGAGAATGAGAGTTAAGGAAGTAGAAGTGAAAGTATACCCTGCCTTTCAATATATTTTGGTACAAAAGGGTAGGAGGAGGACATACAAACAAGGATTCTTTTGAGTTGATTTAATAAGTAGGAAGGATTTAAACAACTTAAGTTGAAAGGGAAAAATTGATGTTGCAGATTCAGTGTATATTTGGAGGACTTGGCCCAAGATGGGAACATGAATATTCATATAACAGGAAGAAAGAGAGCATGGACACAGATGCAGGTTGACTAATAAATTTGGCTGTGAATGTGTGGTAATTATCTTCTGAGTTATGCTGTTTTCCTAAGTGAAATAAATTTGGTCATGAACTGAGAAATGGGTGTAGGGGATAAGAAGTCTTAGAGATTTGAGGGTCTAGAATAATTTCTAGGAAGGTGAGTGAGTGGACTAACTAGTGTACATTGCCTGACTACCTGGCAATACTAGAGACCACTTGAGATGTAATGTCGTAAATTTAAAGTGGGAATAGTCAGCATGGTTTGTAATTATGGTCTCATTAATCTGCTCCAGATATAGGCAAAGAATGAGCACAGATACAGGCAGAGAGTTGGATTTAGGGTTGGAATTTTACAATACAGGTATGAAAGAAGAGAAGGGCAAAGGAGTTGAGTGCATTCACTGGAGTGATTGTAGTACAATCTAAGATGGGTATGATGGGAAATTGGGACAAACTCTATGTGCCATAGCCAAATCACACCTCAGTTGCCAGTACCCACATCCTGCTTTCTCATCTCTGGGATATATTTCCTGAGATGACCTTCTTATTTTCCCTTCCTTCACCCTTACCTCACTCTTGGCCCAAACACATGCATATACCCAATATCCATATGTTCACATTTTGTGCATCCTTCAGGGATAGCAGATGTGGTGCTTTCTTCTTGAAGCCTTCTCTCCTTAACTCCAGGGAACAGTGATCTCATTTCCCCTTTTGAGCTCCTATAGCACTCTATTCTCTGGTTGGCTAATTGCTTGGTGTTATAGTTTTGTCTATATATTTAACCTTTCCTGCTACACTTGTGTGGTCTTATGGTAGAGATTATACCCTTGTATCCTAAGCATTTAGCACAATTGATGTGCAGTGAAGTGAAGTCAGTGATCATATGAGTGAAAATTTCTTCAAAGCAAGTTTTCCAAAGCAATTGTGGAAACCAATATTTCATAGAAATTATTTTTGGTTTCATCAAATCATCTTTTATGGTCACTGTAGTTTTTAGCAGTCCTATATTATTGTAAAATAATCATCATCATTATTTTGCTTATCTTGCAGGAGCATCTTTCTTTGAAGAAGTATATTATTGACATTGTGGTTGAAAGTGCAGCACCATCAGAGCCTTTGAAAGATGGAGAAGAGCGGCAAAAAAATAAAAAAAAAGCCAAAAAGATAAAAGCCCGGATGAATTCCAGGTACCTTATATATCATTAAAAACAGAACAAAAGAAAAACTCTTAGTGATATATCTTTTAATTTAAATCCAAGGAAGACAAAAAAAAAAGTTTAAAGTTGTTTGCTTCAAGAAAGCCTTGGAAATAATACTGATGAGCCTAATTTATAGCCACTTTCTTTGATTGAGAAAGAAAACTGCATATCGATCTAAGCCCTTGCCTTCACCTGTTAAGAGCTCTTCTTATAATTGGATGCCAAAGCCTTGCCAAACCTGTGCCTCCTTCAGCATACAATAGTATGTTTAAGTATCTGTAAACCAAGCGTATTTTTCTTTCCAACTATTGATTTTTAAATGAAGTATCAAAGAAAATCAATAGCAATCAACAAATAGAAGTGTACTGGGTGTAGTGTCAAATCCCATGACTAGGTTTAATCAATTTGGTTGCCTGTCACAACAAGAAAAAGTTCAAGAAATTTCTTAAAATGGAAAGTGAGTTGTCAGACTTGTAGTTTATCATCAGCCCTCAAAGTGTCATCTGAAGATCAGACAGCTGTGTAGTACGTCATTACCTCACAATCTTTGAGTGTCATCTGATGACTGATGGATCTTGTTCAAGGTCACAAAGATAGTTCTTTTTTAGTAGATAATCCTTTTCTGTTTGAGGGAAACTATTCCAAATATGTCCTTTTACTTTTATTCCTAAATGTCTCAAAGGTAGAGAAGCTTGACCCATGGGATTATAGAAATACAGGACTAGAATAATGGTGAATGGTGCTGTTATCTTTCTGTGGTTTCACTGTTTAAATTGTGATCAATCTGGGTGTCCGTTTCAACTTAAAGAATCACTGATAACTTCAGAGTGCTCATTTAACCAACGAATAAAAAAAGCTTTTTAAATTTTAGTTTTTGACGTCAGTCCAAGTTTCTAAGACTAGTTTCACAGTGTATTTCAGGGTATTGCTTTCCTTCATTTCTGGTTCATTCTAAGAACTTGCTGACCTTCTGACACTTAAATGCTTTCAAGCCTGTTCATTAGACTTCTTTTTTTTTTAAGTACACATTTCCTTGGTGAGCTCTCCTAATTCTGTGGCTGTAAATACCTCTACTTGACAGTGATTACCAATTGTATATCTTCAATTTTACTCAAACTTAGTATGAGTAAAACAAACCTGCTCTCTCCTCTCCTCTGCAGAAAACCCGTGTCATTTCAAAGTCTTCTCTGTATCTGTAAGTGGATACTCTATTCTAGTTGCTTGGGCCAAAAGTCTGAAGTCATCATTGGTCTCTCTTTTTCCCACACTGCATACCCAATCTAATGGCAAATGTTAGCTTTGCTTTAACATATATTTAGAATTTGACTACCTCTTTCTAACACACTACTTTCCTCTTCTCTCATCTGGATTATGGTAGTAGCTCTCTTGTTTCTGCCTTTGTCTATTCTAAATACTTCAGCCAGAGTGGACCTATTAAAATTAAAGTCACAGTGTGTCACTTCTTTTCTCAAAGCCTCAAGACATTTACAGTTCAGCTTTCTTCTTCCTAGAAGGTTCTTCTAATATATATTCATACAGCTGGTCTCCTCACCTCCTTGATCAAATGTCACCTTTCCAATGAGATCTTTTTATATATATATAGAAGTATGCTTGTTTTTTACAGAAAATTTTAATAATACAAATAACCATAGAAAAAAATAATAATTCTGCTATTACTAATATTTTGACATATGTATCCATTTTATGCATTTTACCTTTTTTCATTGAGATATTATGGAGATAGAGGTATTATTATTCATTATTCATTGAGGTATTATTGAGATTTTATTTAAGTGAAATATGGAGATCTTAAGTGTGCAGTTGTTGAGTCTTGACAAATCAAGATACTCTTGTACTTCACAGCCCTGTCAAAATTTAGAACATTTCCATTGCCCCACAGAGTGCTTTGTGCCTCTTTGCAGTCAGTCTCCCAAAACCCCTGGCCCTAGGCAATTATTGATCTGCTTTCTATCATTATAGACTACTTTTTCCAGTTCTAGAAGTTTATACAAATGAAATCAACCCTTTTGCAGCTGGCTCTTACTGAGTTTACTGTTTTTGAGATTTTGTGTGTGTGTGTTCTCTGCATGTCATTTGTTCCCTTTTTCTTGCTGAACATCTGTTGTGGATATACTATAATTTTTGTTCATTTTTATTCATAGACATTTACGTTTCCAATTTGAGACATTTATAAATAAAGCTCCTGTCAAGTCTTTGGGTGGACATATTTTTTTTAAGGTTTTAAACAATATTTTATTTTATTGTAGAAATGTGGCAGTACAAGTCAGAATTAGCTACACAAGTAGGCTTTGTACAGGTGAAGTTTGGGCCTCTAACTGATCCTCCCTTCCCCTGGTTTGGAGCCAGGTACACTTTTGTGTTGTTGTGTGTCTCCCCCCACCTCCCCAGCAATATCCAACGACTACCAGTCCCTCCCTTTTGCTAATGTGACTAGTGTTCAGGTCCCACTTATGAGTGAGAACATGTGGTTTCCGTTTTTTTGTTTCTGTGACAGAACACTAAGTATGACTGTGTCCAACTCCATCCAGTTTGCTGTAAAGTCCATGATTTTGTTCTTCCTTATGGCTGCATAATACTCCAGTGTATAGAAACACAATTGATATTTGCATATTAGTCTTATGTCCTGGAGCATTGACAAATTGATTTATAAGCTCTAGTACTTTTTGTAAATGTATAAGATATTTTAATGCACTTGAACATAATACCTGAAAATAAAAAGTTTTATTTATTGCTTTCCAATTTGTGTACTATTTATTTCCTTTTATGATCTTATTTCGCTGGCTTGCACTTTCAGCAAAATGTACAATAGAAGTCTTAGTCCCGAACTTAGGGAGAAAGCATTCAGTTTTTCATTAATAGGGTCTGTTGTTAGCTGTAGTTTTTGTTGTAGATGCCCTTTCTCAGGTTGAGAAAGCTTTCTTCTGTTCTTAGTTTCTTGAGAGGTTTTATCATACGGAGTTGGAGACAGTTGTTCTTAGCAATATATCAAGAAGCAAAGAACCAAATAGCAATGTTCTCACTCATAAGTGGGACCTGAAATATTAACCATGATAGCACAAGGGAGGGACTGGCAGTCATGGGACACTGACAGAGAAGGGAGGAAGGTGGGGGCACATTACAACACAAAGGGTACCTGACCCTAAATCAGGGTAAGTGAGGACCAGTTGGAGACCCAAACTTCACCAGCACGTAGATTACTTAGGTACCTAATCCTGACTTGTACCGCAAGTCATCTACTGCAATACGAGGTCTGGCAATTAAGTTTGTAAACTTGCCACTGTGTACCTATGTTAGCAGCAGTGTATAAACAACTCGGTAAGGTTTCATAATCTTGGTATATCAAATGTCTTACAGCTGTGTTCATGTCTACATGTGGTGGTGTCTTGCTGAGTAGCATTCATTATTGTTGCATATTTTTATGTGCCATTGCAAGAATGACATGGCTTGAATTAGAGTATCAAATAAACATTAAATTTGTTGTTAAACTTGGCAAGAGTAGAAGTGAAATCAGGGACATGTTAGTCCAAGTTTATGGGGATAATTCCATGAATAAAATGGCAGTATACAAATGGATTAAATGTTATTCTGAGGGGAGAGAACGCATCACTGATGAAGAGATGTCAGGACAGCCAATAATGAGCAGAACTGATGAAAACATTGCAAGAATTCATCAAATTGTGTGTCAAAATCATCAACTGACTGTGAGAAGCATAGCAGACCATACAAACATTGATAGAGAAACAGGAAAATCTTAACTGAAAATCTTGGCACGAGAAAAGTGTGTGCAGAAATGGTCCTGAAGGAGCTCTTGGCATCATTACAATACTCCAGTTCACACAGCACTACCTGTGAGGAAGTTTTTAGCCAGTAAACAAGTAACTGTATTGAAACACCCTCCTTACTTACTTGATCTGGCCCCCAATGACTTTTTTCTTTACCCCAAAATAAAGGAAATATTGAAAGGAGGATATTTGATGATATTCAGGACATCGAGGGTAATATAATGACAGCTCTGATGGCCATTCTAGAAAAAGAACTTCAAAATTACCCTATAGGTAGACTAGGCACTAACATTGGTGCATAGCTTCCCAAGGGAAGTAATTTGAAGGTGACTATAGTGATACTCAGCAGTGAGGTATGTAGCACGTTTTCTAGGATGAATTCATGAACTTAATTGTCAGGCTTTGTACTCATTTTTAATTTTATCATGTGGCACAATTAGATTGATTTTTTTAAAAAATAGCTTTCTTCAGATATAGTCCACATCCTATACAGTTCACTTATTTAAAGTGTATAGTTGAATTTGATTTATAAATGTTAAAACCTTATATTTCTGGAGTAACCTCTACTTGTTCATGATGTAGTATCTTTTTTGTATATTGTTGGATTTAGTTTGCTTACTTTTTGAAGAGGATTTCTACATTATTGCCTATGATATATGATATTGGTCTGTAATTTTCTTATAATGTCTTATCTGATTTTGGTATCCAGACTTGATTAAATGGGTTGGGAGCTATTCCCTTCTTCTCTGTTTTGTGAAAGATTTTGCATATGGTTGAGGTTTTTTGTTATTTAGATTACATATATATATAAATAATTCACTAATGAAGTCAAATTTTCTATTACGTCTTTGTTTTGGTAATGTATTACTTTCAGTTTGATTATCCATTTCATCTAAATTTTGAATTTATTAGCATAAAGTCGCATATTTTAATACTTCCTGTTTCTGGTTTGGCATATAAGGAGCTAAGAAGTCACCACTATGTCCTAACAAAAGTAAAAAGCTGAAGAAAATTAACAACTCTTCTTAGATCCATAGGAACAGTGAGGTCACAGGACAAACCACTGTTCTCTAAATTGAGCAGATAGACAGGTAGATATAGAGAAACACAGCTTACCAGAGTGGAAGATTAAGAGCAGAAACTTCTGTAGGAACTATAATGTATAAATTGCTGAAGACTCAGTAT